CAGTCAATTTGTTTTTTTGAAGATCCCTCCATTGATAGTAATTAAATTTGCTCTTGTCTCTCGTTTTTTCCGTCTTTTCTCCATATCTCCTCCTCTCTTCCCCATCTGTATGCCTCGACTCCCTCTTCTCATTCTGCGTCTCTGTCATCTTTCACTGTCAGGCGGCCGCTTCGAGCCATCGACCTCTGCTCTGAGCCCCGGTTCAGCAGCGGGTCAGCGGAAGGAGGGGGGCACTGCGTGTTATTGGGGGGTGCCAGTTTCCTCTCCTCGCCACGGTTACAGCTGCTGCTGCCATGGAAACTGCTTTGCAGACTGAGGAAGGACCCGCGTGTGGATACTTGCAGATATAGAGTTAGAGAGAATGACATGCACGATAATGGTGTGTTATAACAGGGCCCTGTTGTGCTTTAAAACAGGTTTAACTGCATAAGTGAAAATGATGTGGGATGACCGTAGGTTTTGACCTCGCTTTTTTGATGTTGTGTTTGGTGGTAAATTTAGTCTGTTCTTGCAGGATACAATGGGGGTTTTGTGTCATAATGATGACTGATATGCAATTTAAGGGTAGAATGTTAAAAAAATAGGGAAATTGTGAAGATAATAATTTACATATAATGATAATTAAGTAATTATAATAATAATAATTACAACAATAATCTTTGACTTATTTAAATGTTTCCCAGTGATGGGTTGCAGCTGTAAAGGCCTCCACTGCATAAAACATACGCTGGATAAGTTGGCAGTTCATTCCGCTGTGGCGACCGTAAAGAAAATGATTGAATGACTTATTTAAATGGAAATGAAAAACAGTACAATTATAAAAATGTTACTGAAAAACTACTGAAAAATGCGGTCTTATAAACAAAATTAATAATACTAAATGGAACCAATAATAAAATCTAAATAATAACTTAAATTTAAAGTTAAATTTGTCTTATTAGATTCAAATTTGTAAAGTAAACTATAAATATAAATACTTTAAATATACTATAAACTATAAATATAAATACTAAAGCAGAAAATGTTTAATCAAGCTCAATATTAAATATAAATAATACAATTTTAAAATGGCATGTTTAATTTCTTTTTTAAATATAGTATATATTAAATTATTTACTAATTATAAACCACATTAGATTGATTATGTGATTTGCTAAATATTTGCAAGAACATTTTTTTTACAATTTGTTACATTGAAAAACAGTAAAATTATAAAAATGTTGAAAAACTACTAAATAATGCAAATAAACAAATAATAAAATTTAAATAACATAACCTTTGCCAAATTTTTCAAAATTCTAAATATAAATACTATAAATATACTTAACAATATACAATACTATAAATGTGAAAGCTAAAGCAAAAATAATAAACATAAATTAATATTAAAAATAAATAACAAAACTTTTTAAAATATAGCATGTTAAAAAATTGTTAAAATATAGTATATATTTAATTATTTACTAATTATAAACCACATTACATTTAAACAGTTTAAAAATTTATTATGAGATCTGCTAAATATTTACAAGAATAATATGCAACATTTTAAGGGTAGAATATAAAAAAATAGGGAAATTGTGAAAATAATAATTATAATGATAATTAAATGAGTATAGCAATAATAATAATATTTGACTTAGTTAATTGGAATATTATTTTAATGATACTTTTGTTACAAATTGTTGAAAAAAGTACAATTATAAAAATGTTGAAACTACTAAATAATTCAGTCTTATAAACAAAATAAAAAAAATTAAATAACTTTGAAAAATTTGAATCTAAAAAGACAAATTTAATAAGTCATAAATATAAATACTAGAAATATACTATAATATACAATAATGCTATAAATACTAAAGCAGAAAATAATTAATCAAGCTCAATATTTAAAATGAATAAAAATAAATAAATATTGCATGTTTTTTAAAATGTTTAAATATATTATAAATTTAATTATTTACAAATTATGAACCACATTACATTTAAAATGTACAGTTTAGAAATATTGATCATGAGAAGTGCTAAATATTTAAAACAATATGCAATATTTTTATGGGTAGATATAAAAAATTGGGAAATTGGGAAAATAATAATAATATATAATGATAATTTAATAATAATAATAATAACATTTGACTTATTTAAATGGAATATTATTTTAATGATACTTTTGTTTCAAATTGTTACATTGAAAAACAGTACAATGTTGAAAAACTACTAAATGAAAAAATTAAAGATGCAAAAAGGAACTAATAATAAAATCTAAATAACTTTTTAAATAGGCCTTTTTAGATTTTAAATTAGTCAATTATAAATATAAATATTATAAATATACTATAATATACTATAATACTATAATTATAAATACTAAAGCAGAGTGATCAATCAAGCTCAATATTAAAAACAGTTAACAATTTTAAATTATAGCATGTTTTTTAAAAAAAAATGTTAAAATATTTTAACAATATACTAATTTACTTAGTAGTTGTTGTAGTAGTAGTAGTAAACTTTATTGCCCTTGACAGAAAATTTGTTATGGGTATCAATATATCACTGCAGAAATTCCATAAAACAAACAATAAAAACAAACAAAATACAGTAGTTACAATAATTATAATGCTAATTACGTTAAACTCTTGTTAAATAAACCCACAAAAATGGGTATTTTTACATCAAAAGAGTTTAATAATTCAGTCTTTTCCACCTAATTAGGAACACAATTCTCATATAAAACATGAGTATTAAAATATTCATTGTGCCCAACAATTTTCCATCCTGTCTAAGAAATGTTTCAACTTTTACACTGTATATAGGTTGCCAAACCACACTGTGATACCATACCTGACAATGCTTTTAAGAACTGTTTTATAAAACAACATCATAAGCTTTTTGTCAACTTCAAAAAGACACAACCTCCATAAGAAATACAATCTCTGGTGTAAACGAGAACAAACCCACTCTGTTTGTGTTTTCCAAATAAAAGGACTATCAATGTAAATGCCCAAGTACTTAAAGGTCTCTGACTGAATAATAGGATGGTCGTGTACAATCACTTCATGATGGTCACATATACACTTTGGGTCAAATACCATCTCTTCTATTTTCGTAGTATTTATTAATAATTATACTAGTTATAAACCACATTACAATTAAAATGTACTGTTTAAAAATATTGATTCTGCGATCTGCTAAGTATTTCTAACAATAAAATGCAATATTAAAATATAAAAAAATGCAATGTGTATATAGTTGGTAAAATATGCAAAAAGGGGCTTCACGGTGACGCAGTGGGTAGCACGATCGCTGGTTCAAGCCCTGGCTGGTTCAGTTAACATTTCTGTGTGGAGTTTGCATGTTTTCCCCGTGTTCGTGTGAGTTTCCTCCGAGTGGTCCGCTTTCCCTCACAGCCTAAACGCATGTGGTATAGGTGAATTGAATAAGCTAAATAGGCTGTAGTGTATGTGTGTGAATGCAAGAGTGTATGGGTGTTTCCCAGTGTTAAGTTGTGGCTGGAAGGGCATCCACAGTGTAAAACATATGCTGGAAAAGTTGGTGGTTCATTCCGCTGTGGTGATCCCAAATTAATAAAGGGACTAAGCCAAAAAGAAAATGAATGAATGGATGAATGAAATATGCAAAAATGAAGCTTGACATTTATAAAATAAACATATAATCATTTTAAGATTTGAAAGACTTCTGTGTGGTTATTTGCATTTATGTGGAATCTAAATGAGATTAAAAATGAGCATGCAAGATTAATTATCCATTATTGTTCAATACATATGCATTATGAAGTGATGGATAACAATTTGATACAGAACCAGAATGTTTAATAAAAAAATCAATACTGAATTTTATTTTTTTAATATATATATTTAGTCATTTTATAATGCAAATGCATTGTTCAGAAAATGCTGACTTTCCTCTGCAGAGGCTTGTCTTCCTCAGATGTTGTTGTTCTCTTGTTATCATATTAGGGAGTTTTTTCCTCACTCTTGTCTTGCACATTAACCATAATGTTCTCTGTAAAGCGACTTTGGAACAGCATCAGATGTGCGAAGTGCTGCAGAAATAGAATATAATTGAACTGATTGGAGCATGCAAGCAAACTTTAATCATGAGCAGCGCTGCATGTGCGTAACAGACAGCCCATCACGCCTGCAGTCAGCTCGACTTGAAAATGTACAGTACACGCCAGAGGAATGTTTAATAAATCAAAAGCTGATTAATGACACGATGTTGGCATCTTGGTGCAGATGATAAAGAGTCACCTGCGAATTGTGAGGTCAAACGAAGGAGAGAAAGCGAGTGGGAAGGAGCTTGAGAATGGAAGAAATAGCCACGAGCTGAGTTCCAGATCTCTCCAGGTGTTTCAGCACTGAACGGACTTGCTTCGCTCAAAGCCTCGGGCCACGAGGTTCAGACCAGGTGGAGCTACTACAAAAGAGACTATTAATTATGACTTCACCCCTCCTTCTTTTCCTCTCTTTCTCTCTTGCCAAACAAATATGATAGATGGGGTTATCAGTGTCTCGCAGAAGCATGAACGGCTGTCAGGTGTGCTTTGATGTCCGACAGCTTGAATCTCCTGCCTTGTGCTTTGATGATGTGCTTGAAATCCAGATGAATTGACGTACTGTAGTTCACACTCCATACAACACGGCGGGCCATTAAACACACTCCACATAAGATTTAATACACTTGTCTTTGCTGCGATAGCGGGCTAGTTCTGCTTTATACTTTTAAAAGCCATTCCCGGCAGAGCAATGGCGAACGCTATAGCCCTTATCAAGAAGAATAACTTTATCTGTTTGACTTCACTTCGTAATGCAGCTTAAAAGCGTTTGTTACATGTGCCACCTGTCTTAACTATTTTTGGAAGTTTATTGCTCCCTTGGAGGTTTTGGGATTGTGTGTTGTGATTGGGACAGCAGCTTGTGAGTGGATTTGTTGTTTTTTATTATTATTTTAAGTGCAGTGCTTTTGTTGTCCAATAGGTGACGCTGCCTACATAAAACACACTGACTGTTGGGCCGTTGAATGGGGGAGGACAGTTTCCACGTGCTCTTCGCTTCATGGTGGTTGTCAAGGTAAAGTTTCAGTATGGATATGCACTTTCAGGATGGCTGTTTGTACACTGGTAAACAGGAAGTGGAATTTCTTTTTAAAAGCAAGGAAGGGGAATGAAATGTATTTGCCAATTTTAACTTTTTTTTTTTTTTTTTTTTTTTTTTACTTAAGCAGAGTTGAAAAGGACAGAGTTTTTTCTTTAAAAACTTTGTTAAAAATAAGATGGATAAAAAAACTGGTAGAAAAGGATGCATATGGATGCATAAATAGATGGATTGAGATAAAGATGGATCACTTTATTGGTTTATTGATTGATGGAATATGGACAGACTGACAGATGGATTGAAAGATAGATGGATATAAAATGGATAGACTGATATATGCATAGATACACAAATGGGTTGATGAATAATGTTTAGATGGATGAATGAATGCATGAATAGACATGGATAGGTAGATTGATGGATATAGATAGTTAGTCAGACAGACAGATGGGTGGATGGATGGATGGATTGACATGGATGGATGGATAGATAGATAGATGGACAGATAGATAGATAGATAGATAGATAGATAGATGGATAGATGGATAGATGGATAGATAGATAGATAGATAGATGGATGGATAGATATATGGATGGATGGATGGACAGATAGATGGATGGACATAGGTAGATGCATAAAAAGAACAAACTGATTGAAAATGATGGATGCATAAATAGATGGATTGAGATGCGGATGGATGGATGGATGGATGGATGGATGGATTCATTGGTTTATTGATTGATGGAATATGGTCGGGCTGACTGATGGATTGAAAAATAGACGGATATAAAATGGATAGACCTGATATATGCATAGATACACAAATGGGTGGATAAATAATGCTTAAATAGACGGACGGACGGATGGATGGATGGATTGACATGATGCATGGATGGATGGATAGATGGATTGACATGTAGATAGATAGATAGATAGATGGATGGATGGATGGATGGATGGATGGATGGATGGATGGATGGATGGATGGATGGATGGACCAATGCATAGATGAACCGATTGGTGGATGGATAATGCTTACATAGATAGATGGAAGGATTGATATGAAAATGGATAGATGGACAGAGGGATGGGTAGATTGATGTCTACATTGATGGATAATTAATCGATGGATGCATAATGAGATGGGTGGATGGATAATGCTTATATAGACAGATGGATTGGTAAATGGATATATGGATGGATGGATGGATGGATAGATTGATGCATGGCCAGATAAATGGGTAGATTTATATGATGGATGGACATGAAGATGGATGGATGGATGCATGGGTAGATGGACAGATGCATGGATGGGTAAATGGATATATGGATGGATGGATGGGAAGATTGGATGGATGCAGCGATAGATGCATGGGTTGATTGATTGGATCGCTGGATAGATAGATAGATAGAGAGAGAGAGAGAGAGAGAGACAGACAGACAGACAGACAGACAGACAGACAGACAGACAGACAGACAGACAGACAGATGAATGGGTAGATGATATATGGATGAATAGATTGACAGATGGACATGATGTGGACAGAGAGATAGATCAAGTCAAGTGAAGAATCTATTAGTGGAATCAACAAAGTTTTTATGTTAAATCAGCGTGTTGCCACCATGTTATTATTTTAATCAACCTAAACTAAAAATATTTTGTTATCTCAACTACATTAGTAAGTACAAGTTGAAATGACAAAAGAAAATGTGTTGTGATAACAAATCATGGAAATATTTTTTTTGATAGATAGATAAATAGATAGATAGCTTCAATCCAATATTTCAAGCAGCCTTTTAATACTGTTTGTTAATTAAATCAAACAAATAAATAAAAAGGTAAAACAAATCCTCATTAAATCACAATTGGGAGCTCAACCTGTTCCAGTAAAGCTAACATATACCATTCCATAGCAGCACTGGAACATACTAAATGACTATATAACACCTCTTATACAATATAGATTGTGGCGCTGAATTTTTGATGTTGATTTGACAAAGTCGTCGCCGCATCCGGTGAGCTGGACCGAGGCTGTGCTGTTAATGATAGCCCTCCTGTTCAACTCCCTGTGTCCCTGCAAGTCAGGCCCTGAATGAATCATTTACATTGTTTTAATCAGGCGAGTGTGAGACTGGCATGCATAAATGAGCACTGGAACCTATTTGCACTTCGTTTGCGGGGGCGAACGGCCGGCGCTTCCGTCTGAAGTGCCAGGGAAATGAGGAGCAGCTAAATGACCAGCCACCGTTTGCAGTCGCCCTTCAAAGAGCCAGCGACTCAAGGCGCCTCGGTCTTGTCTCTGTTCCTGATTAGCCCTCAAACCGAATGGATTGCGCAGATGCAGAGGTGTCTGTGACAGAATCAGGACAGGGTTTTTTTCCCCTCAGGTGGGTAGAGGGTTGGCACGAGCAAAAAAGAGCGACAGCCAGAAATGTGTGCGTGTGTGTGGATGGCTAGGGAATCATTAGCCAGATACAAATGTTAGTTTAGACAGGGTCACGGATCAAAGCGGGTGAAATGCTCGGCTGTACAGGCAGTGGAATGACTGCGCTGCTGTGCCACCATGGTTTCTCCGCTGTCACTGCTGCCAGAGATTTCCAGTAAATGGGGTTTTTGCATATCATTACTGCAACTGGCTTTTCCCTCCACTTAAAGCGAACAGAGCTTTCTCTCTCGTTCTGCTTCTGAATTTCAGCTCACTGAATAATTGCATACTTATTACCCATGACCAACTGCACAGAAGCACTGTAAAACTATTGTACTGTAGGACTGCAGTTAAAATTTTGATTTAACAGTGAATTTATTTTATAAATTTACCTTTAGAACAGATTTCATGTATAATTTGTTTAGAATTCTCTATATTTTTAATAATTGCAAAGAAATAAGTAATATATTCAAATAGTTTTATTTCAGAAAACATACTTCAGTAGTTTTTGCTTTAATCACAATTTTGAAGAACGATGTGGGATTTCCTTTATTACATTTCACAAAGTAACAGCAACACACTGTGTTAAATTTGAAATGTCATCATTTAAAGTCTGACATAGTGATTGCTTGTTACACATACCCTAATAATATATTTTTATTATTATTAAAGTCATATTTATAGTAATTTTCGATTACCTTATTAAAATGTTCCCCCATTAATATTTTTTATCTATTACTTGACATTGTGTAAAATAATGTAGCAACGCTATCTCACGGCAATTCGTAACTTTTGGATTATGTGGCTAATTGGTATGAATTCGTACGATCTCATTTGTTCAATTTAGCATGATTCAATTTAGCATCCCCCAATGACTGTTATGTTTAAGATTGGGGTTTGGAGCCATGCCTCCTTTTAAAAATCGTACATTTTCATACGACTGAGCTCATACAAGTTTGTAGGAATTAGCCACTAAACTTACACACCGTAAAATAGTTATGTTTCTTTGTGAGGTCTGGTTGGATGTAGATATAAAAGTGACTTGACTTGATAATTTACTGTAAAAAAATCAATGTAGGCACAATTTTTCAGAAATTCCTATTAAAGTTCACAAATAATTGCACCTTAAAATTAACAAAATTGAAGCATAAATATGCTTTCTTATGTAAAATTACATCTTATGAAGTTTACAGCAGGACAAAACAGCCATTCCCAGAATTCATTGTATGAAACTTGAAACAGATATATTTTTTTGTTATTTATTTATGTTTTGTAATCCATGTAGTCATTAGATCAGGTGCATAATTTATTCATATAAAATTGGCCAAATCTGTAAAAAATTAAATAAAATTCAGGGCGACACGGTGGCCCAGTGGTTAGCACAGCCGCCTCACAGCAAGAAGGTCGTTGGTTCAAGTTCCGGCTGGATCAGTTGGCATTTCTGTTCTCAATGTGATGGTGTGTCTGGGTGCTCAGGTTTCCCCCACAGTCTAAAGACATGTGCTATAGGTGAATCGAATAATCTAAATTGGCTGTAGTGTTTGTGTGTGTTTGTATGTGTGTGTGTGTGTGTGTGTGTGTCCGAGTGTGTATGGGTGTTTCCCAGTACTGGGTTGCAGCTAGCATCCACTGTGTAAAACATATGCTGGATAAGTTGCCGGTTCATTCTGCTGTGGCAACCCCTGATGAATAAAAGGACTAAGCTGAAGGAAAATGAATAAATGAATAAATAAAATTAATTTTATTTTATTAACTAGATGTACCGTTCATAGTTTTTAATATTGAAGTAATAGTTCACCCCAAAATAGAAAATTAACTCATCGTTTTTACTCTCTCTTGTTCCTTTAAGTTTCTTTCTCTAATTGAAAAAAAAGTAGGAAGGAAAAAAAATTATTATCCAGCATTATCAGTATCCAGCATTCTTTAAAATATGTTCTTTTGTATCTAGTGAAGTGATAACATACACATGAAAACGACATGTTCAACTTAAACGATTGCCAATGATCAACTTTTTTAGTGCGTATAAGTTTGGTCTCATTTTAAAGGAAAAATTAAAACAGAAGTTATGAGCCTTTACTGTGAGTGTGATATTGCCTTTATACAACAGTTCGATGGCATAATCGTGTATATAACAAAGGAAATCAAGCACGGAGAGTCAAAAATGCTTTTGAAAAAGGAACTACACATCTGCAGCTGACGTCAGAACAGCAGAAAGTGTTGCTTCTTCACAAACACCACTTTACAGCTAGTATTTGAATAATTCTCTAGTGTAATATCTAAAGTGATGACAAAACAAATGATTTTCTCACATTTTAAGATTATAAGGCTGAACAGCATGAAATGCCATCGGTCTAGAGACATTTCTCAGTATTTCTCTTTTGCAATTGGGACATCTCAATAACTAACCTTGAAAAAGCCAAAGCAAACCTAATACTTCTAGATTACTATGGTATAAATACAGCACTACAACAGAAAGAGATCAACTTAGAATGTCACTTATCTGTTTTATAATGATTTTATCTTTATTTTTTATATTTTTTTTCCTCTAA